ATTTGCCACATGCGTCTTCTTCATTTGAAAACTCACCCGATTCTTCAATCTATTGGCCTTAATTAACCTTTTTGGGCCAAGTTGGTTGATTAATAAGTAAGCATTCAAGGATTCTACCAAACCGAGTTTCTAATTTATTCCGGTTAAGTTTCAATTATGTGACTAGGATAAGACTGTGCAATACGCATAATGAATGTATGTAATTAAAATATAAAATTTTAGTATTGACAAATCTAAAATTTACATATGATTGTTTTAAATATATTTAGAATTATAATTTTTTATATAATTATCTATACGTAGGATCAGAAACAATTGTAATTGGAACTATAGATCGAAGCTTAGAATTTAATGAACCTGATTTCATATATCTTTTCATTTTTCACTGTTCGAGTGATGAAAAATAAACAGAGTGTCACAAGGCTTGATTGATAGAGTATTAGCAAATTCATTAATGCTTTCTTAAGAAGCAGTTGGTAGAATATAGAATATATAAAGTTTCAAAACTAATTTAATATTATTTATTTATTTGTCTAATAATAGTAGAAAATTATATTTAAAAAAATATTTTTTAAAGAAACAAATAATTTATAAATTTAATTGAAATTTTAAATTATTAAAAAATAAAATTATTTTTAAAACAATATTTTAATTAAAAATAATTATTTTCATGATTGAACTTAACCATAATGATTTAAAAAATTAAAAATTAAAAAAAAATTAACAAATCAACAAATTAAAAATTAACTCAGTTTTAGATCATGATTTAACAATTTAAAAATTAATTATGGTTATGAGAAATTTACGTTCTCATGTCAATCCTATCTATCTTCAATACTTTTTTCTATTTGTGTTTTATTTTGGTTATTACTCGATATAAATATTGATTTTGAAGTTTCTTCTCATTTCGTTTGTTTGTTTTGGCCTGAGATTTAAAAATTGGTTAAATTTAAAATAATTAAAGAGATACATACTTAGGTTAAGATCTGTACTTTATACATAATAAGTATTTTTTATTTATTATTTTTTATATTTTTTTTCTGAATGAAATAATTAAATAATAAGTATATATATTAAATAACTAAGAAATTAATAAATTGGGTATGCATATAAATCTAACGATCACTCTTTTTTATCGCAATTAGGGTAAATAAACAAAAACAATCAATCTTATATATCGTATATGATATATATAATTAAATTTAAATGATATTAACATAGATATATATCACACTTTTAATATGAGTATCTATTAAAAAGAGGTCTCTACTCATATGATTTTATGATTATTTGCATATTTGTGTAACAAAACTTTACCTCAACGAATTCTTTTTTAATGTGAGATGTTTAGTAGTTTCAATAATTTATAATCATTTAAAAAAACAGTGACAGGTTTCAAAATTAAATCACTAACTTTTCAATATATGTTCAATGCAAATATCAAAATATAAGTATGTATTTTCATACGATGTATAGTTTAATTTAAACAATATGAAATATATATATATATATGTGCATATATATTAACGTAAAACCTATTAAAATAAAATTATTTCTTCATATGGTTGTATAATCATTGTATCTGAATATAGAAAAAAAATTAAACCTTGATCATAAAAGCTTATGTGAGACTTTTAACAATTTTAGTAATTTATACTCGTTTTGAAAAATTTGAAATACAACATACACAAAAAAATCTAGATTTTTATTATATGATTAATATAATTGTGTAATTTATTTTAATAATAAAAAATAAACAAAATGATAAAAGGTATACAGATTGTTATCAAATCTTTACTGTCTAAAATCATTAATTGTCATATATATTTTAATAACATTAGGTAATTTCGTAGATTTTATTTAAGGAAAGCTTGCGAAACAATAAATATTTAATATATGCGACTAACTTTAGTTTGTGAAATATTATATTGCTAGAAAGTATAATTTTTAAACTATATTTTATGTTGGAAGCTCTAGAATTATTCTATTTTGAAATAAAAGACATAGAGAGATGCCATATAGGATCGAGTTATTTTTTAATTAATACACTTAAGGTTACATCTTTTCAAATTTTTCTCAATCAATATATAGGGAATTAAAAATTTTAAATAACTTTAATCAAATGGTTTCTTTTTCGATTTCCTGGTTATTTATTAATTTATTTATTCCTTTTTTGTTTTATTTTTTTGGTACGACTTTATATTAATTTGATTTCTAATTTTTGTTCATAAAATTGGATGGTAGTATTGACCAAAAAAAACTGGATGGTAGTTAGATATCGGTTTGATCCTTGAAATAAATCAAACAATTCTTCGATATATGAAAATAACGTATATCATTATGAATTATTAGTTTGTTATGATATGATAAATACAAAAGCAGTAGATAGTTAGACCTTAGCAGAATAAACTGACAACTCTGAACGAGCGAGAGAAGGGGTGCGACTCAACTTGTGATTCGAAGGCGACTTTTACAAAAAAAAAAGAGTAAACGGTTCTTCTCCGGCGGCTCTGTCCGCCGGATCTTTAGTTTAATTATTGCACATCTCTTTACACAGTACTGTGATGTCAATGAAGATGCTACTATATCAAAAAATTCTTTTCTTTCGGATTTTCCAATGCTGATGACAATGGTTGGGATCCTTCACTCTTGCCATTGACTAGATTGCGGCGACTTTCTTCTTGGCCCCTGATGTTGATGTCTATTTCCTCTGTGGTGTTTCTATTTTCGGGGAAGAGTATTTTTTCGGCACAGCTTTCCTTATACCGGTGGTTTTGTGACGGTGTTTGTCCGTCGAACTCAAATATTGACGGTTTATGTCCGGCGGTTGGTGTACCCTATTTCCAATATGTTGTTGTTTCATCTGTCTATTGGCATGACAGTTTGTTTCGTTATCTTTGGATGAATTCTTAAAACCGCCATGGCCACCACCGTTGAAGATGATGTCGTTTTGTGGACCTCTCATTCATTCTCTGTTCTTGTCAGCGTTTAATCTTAGAAGATTAAGAAAACGTTGTGGGTTGTTTCTGTTTTTTTCTGAAATTCTTAAGGTCTATGGAAGTTTTGTCTTTGGTTTTTCAACTTTGGGTATGGATGAAGTGGAATCGACTACGACAAAAAGGATTGTTTGTGATTATTTTTGTCACTTTCTCATAGTTGGCACACAGATGTGTTAGGATCAAATATAGTGATTTCATGGTTGTATGGCGATGTTCTTATAATCGTTGAAGATTGGCGGTTCTAGTTCTTATTTCTTTGGAGAGAATTATTATATTAGATTCTTTACCGATCGACATATATAATTCTACACTGGAAGTTGGTTAATGTTATACAACAAAGAAAAATAAAAAAATTTGGAGTTTCATCGCATGGTCAATATCCATATATGAAAATCATCAAGAAAATAGAATTGTTATTCTATTATCAAATAAGACGGATTGGAAGACAGCTTCTTCAAATCTTATTTTATGTTGTAATATTTTATTGAGAAAATGACTAGAATAGCACTAAATTTTTTTTTTGTCACAAATATAGCATTTAAGAATAAAAATGACCAAAATCGCACTTAATGTTTTATCAAAAGAGATAAATATACACCTATATCCCAATGATAAATTAATTTAGACATTAGGGTTTAGGGTTTAGAGTTTAGAATTTAGGTTTTAGGGTTTAGAGTTAGGGAGGTTTTGGAGATAAGATTTTAATTTTTGAAAAATAAAAATTTTAAAAAAGTTTCAAAAGAGAAAATCCTATTTTGGTCATTTTAATTTTTGAATACTATTTTTGTGACATAAACTTAGAAATGTGCTATTTTGGAGATTTACCCTATTTATTTAAGTTTAGTTGCATTTAGTTGTTTTTGTGCTATTTTATCTGTATAACTACAATTTATATAAATAAAATTAGTTTTTTTTTTTTTTTTTAACACTGAGTAATGAACAAAGTTTGAGGACAAACAAATGTGAAAGACTAAAAACTAGGAAAATGAGATGTCAGTAGACACCATCATAACAACAAAAGAAAAGAGAAGCAGGATATACCAACACCCTTACTCATTTAGCATCCAAAACTAGAAGGTGAAGTAGCCACGATGGAGCATTCCGAGCGATGTACGACTGGTGGCGCCTATCGCGAGTGACGCTGAAAGCAATGGCCGTTGCCGCTTCATTACGCTCCGGAAGAGTATGATCGAGACTCCATGAATCTATTCCTGATAGAAGCCAGAGAATGCTGCGACGAATGTGGCTGAGGCTAAGGTGTGCAGTTGGATTTGTCCAGTTTGTGGAAATGAGGATGAGACTATCTGTCATGTTTTATTCACATGTGTTAAAGCACGTGAGATATGGGATCAAGCTAATGTCCAAGTTCCTTTAGGAGGTTTCTCTAGGAATTCTACATTCTTAAATTTTGTCCATTTACTCAAAATTGCAAGGAGCGCTTCTTTGAATATCCATACACAAAAAGTTTTTCCATGGTTGCTATGGGAAATATGGAAAGCTCGGAACTCATTTGTTTTTAAGAATAAAGTTTTAGAGTCAAAAAAATTAGTTGTTCAAAAAAAAAACAAAAGCAAAGATTTTGGAGAATTGATTAACTCGCCATGGCTTCTAGAGTCAAGAGAACAAGGTTGAGAAATGAACAAGATATGTAAATCACTGGTTGATACTTGAAATCAATAAGGCAGCCATTGAACATTTGGACCTTGTCTAGATCATGGAGACACCAAGGGTGGTTTAGAGAGGAACCGATTCTCCAAAACCAGCAGATATATAAACAAATGGGTATCCGGTTCAATTTAATGTGTACTTGGAAGCTGGTTAACAAATTCCAATTGTTGTCACTCCAAAACTGGGAATTAGGTTTCCGATCATCGGAGTTGCAATGATGGGTGCCGTCAATTACGCCAGTATACTCTGCAACGTGATCATAAAATTAAATTACATTAACGATCAACAAAAAATGAAATTAGGGTTCGACGTCCATTAGTTTTGAAGCCTAAGAGCATTGTATTTCCTCAATTCGAATTAAGATTCAAGAAAACATAGAGTTAAGAGCTTCATAATTTGCAGAGATGTTCATGAAAAAATTGAACAACGACTCCAGAAAACGAAAACAGGATCCAAGAACAACAAATCAGAAAGAGAAAAAAATAAAAAAAAATTGGATCATTTCTCGATTTGTGCGTGTCATCCTTGCGCAGGGGCCATGCTAATCTTCTCTGTATCGTTCCAATTTTATCGGATGTCCCCGAAGGGACAATCATCTTCGTGTCTCTGTCGGTATATAAACTGCTTCTTCGATAAGCGATGTGGGAGAAAACAGATAACTAGGGAAGAATATGACTTGTTATTGGGCCTTTTTAATGAACTTTAAATGCCCATATAATATAACTTACCCAAGCTTCTAAGATTACATTAGAGGGCCCGGTTAGATATTCAGAGTCAACATGGACCCAATCTCAACGGCTAAAGTCAACGTCTCTGCTCCTAATTATTTCTCTGAATATTTTCAAATCTTTCCTTTCTCGCTCGCGCCGACATCAACATCAAAATCAGCGAGAGGTAGCGATCCTTGCGTTCGTCTCTGCTTCTTCTACGATTCATGAGCTTCGAGCTCCTTTGATTGGCTTTTCTTTTGTGGTCTTCTGCAGATTCCGTCCCTCGATCATTGTTCTTCGTCGCTCTCTCGGAATCGCATGTAATTAGTGAGCTTCTTTGTCTCAGTTAGGAATCTAACTGTCTCTTCGAGCTTTGTGATGTACAAATCCTTTTAATTTCGAAACCTCTGAGCAAATCCTTTTAATTTCTACCTTTGCAGATCTCTGGAGGTTAATCAGAAATTTCTAGGGTTTCCGTCCCGGTAACGATTATCACAGTATGTTTGGAACTTTACTGATTACTATAAACCTGCATCGTACTGAAGCTCCACAGTTTTTTTGTTGCTTAGTTTGTATTTCCAGCAACTTATTGTACAAATTCGTGTTTCCATTTCAATAATTTGCAGCAGTTACGATTGATGTTGGTTTATCAGATCTGTGTTGTTACTGAAAAAAAAAACTGAACTCTAAATAGAGAGGAGTTTGGAGAATTAAAGTTTTAGTTAGTTTGATATAAATTTAATTTGCAGCAGTTAGAATCAAATTGGTGATTTTAACAATTTATTTCTTACTCCCTAGTTCTCTAAACGCTTGACTTTGGCTTCTGATTCGTGATGTAGATAGATTATAAAAATGGAACTCTAAATCGAGAGGACTATGTAGAATGAAAGTTGCATGATTCCTCATCTAGTTTGATATGAATTTCAGGTGTGTAGCAGCTTGACATGAGGTGCAACGCCTGCTGGAGGGAACTGGAAGGCTGTGCCATTTCCACCACTTGTGGTCACTTATTATGTATCCAATTTACACTTATACTTATCTTTTCTATTCTCTCTGTCTTCTTTGGCCTTGTCTTGATGAATAGTATACTTGTGAGCTTGAACACGATGACCTTACCATCATGACAAGGTACTGAAGATGCAACCAAGATTCTCAGTAATGATGGGGCTTGTCCCATTTGTGATCAAGTACTCTCTAAGAGGTGAAAAGTTCCCTAAGCTATTTTCCTATCTTCAGTTTAGTCTTATTTTTCTTGTTTCCTACTGGACAGTTTATCTTTGTTTTCTATTTTAGTCTAATGAAACCTGTGGATACCAATCCAAATGAAGAATGGATAAATGTAAGTTGTTGAGCTGGAGTACACAAAGATGCTATAGTTTTTCTTATTTTCCAGTTTTATGATATTCCCCTCTTACATATCCGGATTGCTTACTTTTGTTATCAGATGGCGATGGCTGGAATTTCTCCACAAATACGTATCCTTTCCTTTAGTGTAGTCCTTTTAACTCTTGGTAGTTTTTTTTTTCAATTGCATGCAGTTATATTCTTCATTTGAAAATGTTCCTCTGCGTTTGAAAAACTTTTTCCATCATCTGACTGTGTCTTTTGGATTTGTAAAAGTTGGTAACAATATGTTTAAGTTTCAACGAGCCTCCTTCTGTTTTCCTTAATTGAATCTAGTGATGAAGAGTGCATATCGAAGTGTAATGTTTTACATCTCGCAAAGAGACTTAGAGATGCAGTGCAAGATGAATAGAGTTGTTGCGCAGTGTCGTCAGAAATATGAGGGCATGCAAGCAAAGTTTAGCGAGAAAATGGAGCAGATGCAGACAGCATACCAGAAGATGGGCAAGAGGTGTCAGATGATGGAGCAAGAGGTAGAAAGCTTGGCCAAGGATAAACAAGAGCTCCAAGAGAAGTTCTCCGAGAAATCAAGGTCAGTAATATAACATGCGTTTTGCCTGTCTGGTTCTGTTCATCTTCTTATACTCAACTTTAATAATAAGCTACATTAATTCTCTTTAAATACCAGACAGAAGAGGAAACTTGATGAGATGTATGACCAGCTAAGAAATGAATATGAGTCAGTCAAACGTACAGCCATCCAACCAGCAAATAACTTCTATCCACGACACCAGGAGCCTGACTTTTTCTCAAACCCACCAGTTAACATGATGGAGAACAGAGAGCTCACTCGCAAAGGTTAATAAACAACAACACTACTTCTACGATTCTAAGTCTCTTGTTGGATAAATATCTTTCAAGTCAAGCTGACTTATTTGGTGCAGACCGGTCGTTTTACAATCCTGCAACAACAGGACCCAAAGATGAGATATGGCCAGCAAGACAGAACAGTTCAAACTCGGGTCCATTTGACATCTCCAACGATTTACCTGCAGTTCCAGCTGACCTTGGAAACAGAAGAGCAGGAGGACATCATGTATTTGGTGGTGGTGGCAGTTCTAATCCCCAATCAACTCTTCGAAACCTTATTCTCTCCCCTATTAAACGCCCGCAGCTCTCTCGTTCTCGCCCTCAACTGTTCACGTAAGCAATCTAACCCAAACGTTGACCAAGCATCAGATACTTGTGTTTATTTTTTAAAAGAAACACTTGTTGCACCTCTTCTCAGGTTATAGCTTGAGGATCAAGTTAAGTGTTTTAAACCTGACTTTGATGGAAGCACTAATGTTCACAACAGTAAGTAAAGTAACTCTTTGTTTTTATAAGCTTACTGTCTTAGTAAGTACTAAAATGTTAGAGGAAAGGTAGTATTTGAGAAAAAGAAAAACTCTCGTCTTTATAAATAATAATGATAAGTCATATTTTAGTAGAATCAATATAGTGAAACTACTTACAAGGATGTAAGATGACGAGCAAGTATAAAAAGACATTTTTGTAAAAATAAAGGGAAAAAAAGAAACAGTTATGGGTAAGCACTTGTGGCAAATTGTGTAGTGTTCATTGTGGGCTTAGGTTCTCTTGTTTGGTCCAAAGACATATTTGACCAGTGACTCTTTAATAGGTAGCATCTCTGGGAACTCCTTGCTTAGTTTAGCACCATCCATTTCATTGTTGCTTCGAGCAGCAACAATGACTTTTGCTTGTTCTTCAACTGTGAAGTTGGACCATTTAAATCCTGGCTCGATGTAACTCTTGTACATCTCCAGTATCTCGTTGTGGCTGACCACCCCTGGGTTGGTGAAGTTCCATATCCCTCTCAAATTTCTCTTTGCCATCTCGATGGAGATTGGAAGAAGCTCGTCCAGTATGGTCATGCTGTTCGGGATGTTCACCACTTTGTTGTAACGCGAGATCTTCGTGATGAAGTTTCGCGGGTTGTTTAGGTCTGATGAGATGGGCATCCTCACTCTTAAAGTACACACATTGTCAAATTCTCGCAAGAGCTCCTCGACCTGGTGACAAGAAGAAGAAACAAAACAGAGTCATTTCTTGGTAATGGGAGTGTCATGAGTTAGATAAAGAACATTACCATGGCTTTGGTTTTTGAGTAGAAAGAACCAGCGAAGTTCGGCTTGTCTTCTTCCTTAAAGCCAATACCAGAACCCTCAGGATGTGCAGCATCGTACTCAAAGATGCATCCCGTGGCGAAATTCATCATCAAGAGACCATTCTCTCTGCAAACATCTGCAAGAGTCAAAGTACCAGCGACATTAACACGAATGGTCTCAGGTTTGTGAGATTCACACCAGTCCACATTGGGTCTCCCAGTTAAACCAGCAGCGTTAAACACATGTGTCGGCTTGACGCGATGAATATCAGCAACGAGAGAAGCTCTGTCCTCTAAACGTCCTTTCCCATACTCATATGCAATCCCTTGCTCCTCACATAGCTTCCCTAGAAGACCACCGATCCAACCAGTCTTACCATAGATCAGAAACTTCAACGAGGCTTTGTCATTAGGACCAACAGTCTTGTTGTTAGGTGTTACAACCGTGAATGTCTGGACAGTATTGCTGGAAGCGTCTTTCTTCTCATCAGAAACATCAGAAACTCTTCCACCAGGCATCATAAGCATTCTCGGATGAGGAAGCAAAGCTCCAGAGACATCACCCCACCACTCTGGATTCTGAGTGTACCATTCCATTGTCTTCTTCAATCCATCTTCCCACCCGGTTCGCTCCGACCAACCAAGATTCTTCAGCTTCTGATCATCAAGGAAGTACCTCTGATCGTTAAAAGGTCGATTCTCCACAAACTGAATGCTTGATTCCGGATCTTTCCCGAGAAGTTTGCAGATGTCTCTCGCAACATCAATCACTCTTCTTTCTCTCTTTGTTCCGATGTTGTAAACATGACCAACTTCTCCTTTGTGAAGAACAACCTCAAAGGCTTCAGCTACGTCTTCACAGTACAGGTAACTCCTGACGTTAGATCCATCTCCATGGATCGGAAGCGGCTTACCACTCATAGCCAATAACATGAACTTAGGAATCATTTTCTCAGGAAACTGGTTAGGCCCATAAACATTGTTCCCACGAGTAGTTATAACAGGTAATCCATATGATCTACCATAAGCCATCACAAGCATCTCAGCACCAGCCTTAGTAGCTGAGTATGGATTCGTCGGTAAAAGCTGAGAAGCCTCATGGTTTCCTACAGCAGCATCCTCATCTGTTTCTCCATAGACTTCATCGGTACTCACATGGATAAACCTCCTGATCTGTCCGGTAACTTTGCAGGCTTCAAGAAGAACATGAGTACCATAAATATTGTTCTTGGTAAACTCAAAGCTGTTACCAAAGGAGTTATCAACATGGGTTTGAGCAGCAAAGTGCATGATCGTGTCAATGTTTTCAGTGATGAGAAGGTAGCTAACGAGGTCATCACTAGCGATATCTCCTTTGACAAACTTGAAGTTAGGAGAAGATTGCGAAGGGTTGAGATTCTTGAGATCTGAACAGTAATCAAGTTTGTCCAAGACAACGATCTTGTATTCTGGATGGTTACGGATTAGTCTGTTGGCAACATGAGAAGCAATGAATCCAGCAGCTCCGGTGATGAGAATGTTCTTAGGCTTGTACGTAGTAGCCATTTGTAATTAAATACCTGCAACAGCAACAAAAAACGTTACAGCATCATATGAATGTAAATACAGAAAAAGGCAGATCTGGATCAAATCACCAGATCATAAAGAACAAAACCATGAACTTTCTAGTTGGGATCATTGGAACAGACAGCATCCTGGAAACTAGATCAATCGTCGTATAATTACTCATTTAACATTATTTGCAAATCTAGTGTAAAGCATTATAGAAATTTCAGAAGGAGAAAGAAAAAGAGAGAAACATTTCACGTACCGACACAGTTCAGATAACCTAGGAAGAATATCCTAAGAAAGATAGAGAGATCAAAAGAAAGAACAGTACAGAGGAAGAAGAGGTAATCTACGGTCTCCAAAGCTCTCTGAACACTGCGCCTCTTATAATCTGAGACAGTTACGGAAAACCGTAGGACCGAATTGACTATTTTACCCTCACTTAGCTTACTTATTACAGATTTCTCGTGGGTCTAGCGTCCAACATAAATAACTCCTGTCTTTTTTTTTAATTACTGAAACTGGTGTCCTTTTTTTTATTGATTTATTTTAATGTTTTTTTGGTCAAATTTTAATGTCTTTTTTCGTACACATTTATAATAGGAACTTCAGAAATCAAAGAGAAAAAATTATAATTAACTGATTAACCAAAAAAAAGAAAGATGTAAGCGAAATTAATTTGCAAAAATATGATCTTTGATTAAAAGGTTAGTATTGGGATTTGATTAATGCCCTTGATTTATTTTTCTTGGTCAAATGGTTTGTTTATAATCTAATAAGTATAACGCACATGTCAGTTTAAATATTATTAATGCTAGATTGAATGCATCTACACGTCAAACCGAGATTAGATATCAGTTAGTTCAATTCAACAAAGGAAGACCTGAGATTAAACATAACGGATCATTCAATGGAAATGCTTAATGTCAGGAATACTGAAGAGTAACAAAAAAGGCGTTATTAATAAATGGAAGCCAGTGGCATGTGCTTAGTTTCGGGATCACATGGTTTACCGGTTTGGTTTTAATTTTATAGCAGCCATTAAGAAATGACTAATTATAATGTGCAAGAAGATTGATTTACGGAGGCTAAAGATCTAAGGGCCAATGACTTTTTGGTAACTATTCCATGTTTCTCGGAGGTAAATGATTTCTGTCTAGATTAACCACAGTTAGATTAAATGTATACGATAACCAAAGAGATCTTCTCATAGTTCAAAGAACATAACAAGAAGCAATGAGACCGATCTTGAAGTTTAAGAAGTATATAATCACAACCGTCTTCTTCTCTTCAATGAACTACGCTTATAACAAATTCAAAGATTATGGAGCCAACAAGATAACTGAAACCATTACCGGCAACGACCCAGGATCAGACTGATGTAAGCCAATTTGTTCTTACATCAAAAAGTCTTTATTATATCATTGTTCAAATCAGAGCTTGGCTGAATAGCAATAATACTTTACACAAAAAATTAAGACCGGAGCCCCCCGCTAGTTGTTAAAGATCTGTCTGAAATGTTGTTATGAGTCTAAGATGCTGCGCCGTAACCAACTGTGCCTATGTTCTGGTGTGCTGCTACTGCAACTGCAGGACCAAACTGTGATTGTGCTTGCAACAGCTTAGAATCGATGGCCATGTTGTTGTTGTTGTTGTTTGATTGTTCTGTATTGGGGAGCTGTGATTGAGAATAAGGGTTTGGGCGGTTCACAACCTCGACGTTTGTTTGGTTAGTCCTAGCAGGTGGCGGCACGGTGACGAATTCTTGCGGTTTTGTTCGAAACGAAGCTTCTGCGTTGCTGTTATTTGGGTGCATCATCATGGTGTTTGCCTTGAAGTAGCAGTGAGGAGATGATACGGCGCTTCTGAAGTAAGCTTCTTTGAGGTTCCTGCCATTCTCATAACTAACTGATTCCACAACACGTCCTGCTCTACCTGTAAACACACACCCAGAGATTGAATTTATTACATGGGTTATATAAAGTTTCTAAAGATAAAAATATTTGGTGATGTGATCGAGGTTTTTACCTGATGGTGGTACTCTTGGTGGAGGTCCTAAAGCTCTAGTTGGTGGATGTCCTGCAGGATCAACTCCACCTCTTGTAGGCTCGAAAGAAACACGTCTACTCTCTGTCGCACACAAGTTGGGTTGACTGGTAGAATGAACTACACTTGAGTGAACTGTAGACCTGTGGAAGATGATAAGAAGACGTAGATCAGAGATGAAACTCTACTTAATATGCTCTGAAGCAACAGAAGGATGAACAAAAACAGAAGAAGTAGACATACCGAGGAAGTGATACGTGCTTCCTCTCAAGAGGTATGACCGGCCCATTTCTACTGCTATTTTCCTCTAGGTAATTGAACTGCTTTCTAAGATGTCCTATGGCGCTGCAACAAAGAAGTCAAGAAAATAAGCAAAACAGATGAAATGACGTTAATAATAGTAAAAAAAAAACAAACCTAGGATATACAAAACTTGATCCCTCAGATCCGCTCATATAGTCCTTGAGCAACTGGGGATGGTACTCCAGTATTTCTCTGTAAATAAGCTCCCTAATGTCATCCTTTGTCAACCTTCTTCTCTCAAATTCAAACTCCATCTTCGATATTGGCTGACATGAAGGTTCTCTTTCCACTTTAGAAAGACCCTTAAAGTAAGGATCAGCCAGTGCCTATACAGAAAAAGATGACCAAATAAGAAGAGACACACAAACAAGAAGCAAGCCAGCTTTTCAGAGAGGAAGGAAGAAAAGAGACCTCTGCAGCAGTTGGTCTATCCTTTGGATCGAAAGCCAGCAGTCTCTGCAAAAGTCTGATTGCTAAAGGATCAGCTCTTGAGAATTTTTGAGAGAAGGAGACTGGATCTTTCTTCCTCATCTCACTCAAATGTTTTCTAGCTTTATCATTTCTAACCTGTAATCAAAGTAAGATGTTTTAGCTATACAGTTCAGACAAACATATCAAGTGCATGAATGTAAAGGCAGACAAAAAGGTAAGCAATCATACTCCAGAGATCGTCTCTGGTTTTGGTGTGCCAAGAAGATCAGTAATCAACTCCAACTGATGAGAAATGCTTTTCCCCGGAAACAATGGCTTCCCTGTTAATACCTCTGCAAAGATGCACCCGATGCTCCAAATGTCTATAGCTGGAGTGTACTGCAAACAGATAGAAACTTTAAATCAGGTTATGAAAAATATTCAAAAATATAGAAGTTTTGCGGATGCAAAAGAAACCACTCAATGGACATAACCTGATACAAGGTTACCTGATTTCACAGGTTTTCAACCTCCAGGAGAGTTCAAAGTCATCCCTGAACAAGAACTATTTCAATATTCTTATCCCACAGGGACAAACACACAACTTACTAAACCTATTAACAGTTTCTCAGACATTCTACACTAAACCATATCCAGTACACAAGACATAAGCATAGAGAAGTAGAGTAAAAGAATAAAGGGGATGAAGAGAACCAACCAGTGTGCACAAGATAAGAGTTTGAAGTCAATAGTAACACATACCTTAGAAAAGAATGATCCACAGAGCTCAGGCGCTCTGTACCATCTTGTGGCAACATAGTCCTGCATTGAAGCAAAAGAGAGACGTCAAAACGCAGAAACAGAGACAGTTAACAAACAAAAAGAGACGAGGAGGACTACAAACCGTCCACAAGACTGTTGTAGGAGTATCATTAAACGCTACTCTAGCCAATCCAAAGTCACAAACTTTCAACTTGGAGTTTGCATTTGCCAGTATATTCTTTGGCTTAAGATCACGATGATAAACATTAGCTGCACCCACATGACATTAAAAAAGAAACAGTTAACTACAGCCAGAGAGATAAAAAACAACATGCTGAAGCGATCTGGACCTGTATGCATGAACTTCAAGGCACGAAGCATCTGATAAAGGAAAAACTGGTGATGATCACGAGTCAAATCATCATTAGCTTTAATAACTTGATGAAGATCCGATTCCATAAGCTCAAACACGACATAGATGTCTTTAAACTCTCGCTTGGAAGGAGGAAGCATGATGCTTTTGATCTCCACTATATCAGGATGCCTTAGGAGCCGAAGAAGCTTAACCTCACGGAGGATCCGAAGCGCGTCAGAGATATGCTCAAAGATATCATTAATCTTCTTGATAGCAACTTTCTCTCCGGTGTGTGTGTCAATAGCTGCACACACAGTTCCATAGCTTCCTTTGCCAATAACTTCTAGAATCCTGTATCGGTTAGCGTCCCCGTACTCTGTGAAAAATTCCATCTCTTTCGTGTCCTAACGAATTACAAAACATGAATTTAACACTGAATCCATCAAAATTGGTCATGCAATAACGTAAAGGTTGTTAATTTATTAAAGTTAATTGACTTTTTTCTGTTTACGACAGTTCGAGCGAGACAGAGAGGGAGAAACAGAGGACTAACCCTCTTCACTTGGTTTGGTTGCATCCTCTTCAAAGTTATCAACTTTAATCTTTGCCCTGATTGATTCCAATCAATACGAACAAACCCAGAAACTCAAAACTCATAAATCAATGGAACGATCAAAGAGAGCCGAGAGAGAACAAACCCTAGAACCAGCGATCGGAGAAGAAGAAGAAGAACAAGGCTTTATCTAATTGTAGTTATTCGCTTGGTACTTATTGCGTACGGTTTACAAGTCTCAGATTAATGGTAGTACCGTTATTATTAGGAACTTTGAGGGTATAACTTTCAATGACCTTTTCTGAAAAGGACTCATTGGGTTAAGCCAACTGTTGCCTGGACTTGGACCCGTTGATACATTCTCTGATTTAGATTTTATCTACTTGACAAGTGGTCAATTTTAACCATCCACGTGGACGAGATATTGAATCAACTACTATATTTTTCGTATTATAATATAAGTAAATTACTGAACATATTAATTACTCTTTATCGTTTTGAAGGAACAACTATCCAGTTGGCTAAATTCAATTATCTCTAGGAGATATTTATTTGATATTTGATTTGAGATTAATTAATAACTAATCTTAGAAGATTATCCCGGTTTAATTGATAAAAACAAATCATTCTTTATCTTTTCTTTTTGAGGAAACAACCATCAAGTTGACTAAATTCCTATGTAGAAAATTATTTCTATAAGATATTAATTTGATAACAGATTTGACATTAATTATTAACTATTCTTAGAGATTTTACCAGTTCATAAGACAATGATATACACTAATATATTATAGGATACAGACGCATGTTTTTTTTTGGGTAAAATTTATACCATTGACATCTCGATCAACAAGCATAAAATAGAGTTTAGAACAGAAAGGGCACTATTGACACATGTTTGATAATAAACATTCCATATTATTCAAATCAATATCGAGAAAACGACCTTCTATATATCATCAAGTGGTTGGCTTGATATCTGATTATCTGTTTGTATGTTTAGTCAATTTATATTCTTGAAAATAATAAAAATCAAAAGAATTAAATAAGATTGAAATTCTCATTGGTGTAATGCTATGTCTACATCTTGGTGCTACTGCAACAATTTCTTTTTATAAATTAACAGAAATATAGTTCTTGTGATTGTGTGAAGCTAAGGAGTTGATATCAATTTACACAAAATTGGCTTTTGTATTTATTGAAAAGACCAACTTTTAGTGTATGGCTCAAATTAAAAGTTGATCTCATAAGGGCACAGTTCATCTAAAGGTTAAGGTGTGTGTTTAGCAAAACCAACCCATAAATTAAAGTCAATTGCAAAATCAACCCCTTTACTATTCATTCATAAAATTTCTAAACCATCCTTATGTTTTTAAAATATTCACAGAATTGTCATTATTATTTATTTTTTTAATTATTTCGAAAATTACAAAAAACTAATTACACCCTAAACTTTTTTCTTATTTACAACAATACCTTCTTCATCAATTTTCTACCACCATGAACAACCATTTTAAGCTCTTTAAACCTCTCAAATTCAATTTTCAACCACTTTTTTCTCATTCTAAACCAACAAATATCCACTTCCTCTCATTTCCTATATATTTTCATCTAAAAAACTTTCGTACTTTCATTTTCCTAAGCATAACTTCATTACTCTGTTGTTGGTCGTCTAAGCTGTTTCTTTTTCTTCATATTTGGAGCTTGGAATGTGGAAAAATGTGGAAACAAGCTTTACACCGGAAAAGGTACCTATTTACATGGTTTTCGTCATTTTCAGATCTGTGTCGCGATAGTAGACTGTATCGTATGTCTACGATTACGTGTAGGTTTACGATGCAGTCTACTTGTCAACGCACAAATTAGTGTTGTAATTGACCAGAATAATTGTTTATACAAATTAGACTTCCTTGGAAGTCTACGTCATTACCTTTGATTAGAAAAACAAAAATGAGGTAGACTTACAAAGAAGTCTACGTAAAAGAGGTTAGTTTTGCATTTGACCAAACTTTTGACTTTTCAATGTAGACTTCGTCGGTAATCTACAGACTGTAGACTTCCGGAGAAGTTTACAAAAAAGTTTGTTTTGTATTTGACCCAAATTTGACTCCGTTGAATAGGTTAGTTTTGTATTTGACTAAAATGTTAAAAAGTTGACCAGAAAAAAAAGTATAGACTTTAATTACAGTACACTAATTTCAAAAGAAAAAACGATAGACATCACATGATCTACTATTTTATTTTGGTCAAATGCATAACTAACCTCCCATATTTGTGGGTAGACTTCGTATGAAGTCAACATGTATGTAGACATTTGTTTCCGTTTACTAATAAAAAGTCAAATTTGGTCAATTGCAAAACTAACCTCTGTCAAAAAAATTCAAACATGTAGACTGCTTCTAAAGTCTAATTTAGTAAGTCAAAACTTAGGTGATTTTTGGTCAACTGAAAAAACTAACTTTTTTGATATGTAGACTGAAATGGAAGTCTACACGTATAAAATCACAATTTTTTTTCAAATATAGAAAGTAACCCGTAAAATTTTCAATTGCAAAAACTAATCTAAATAGAAGACTGCATATGGAGTTTACATGTGTAAACTGTAAAGAAAGTCGACATTTACGCAGACTGCTTATGGAGTCTACGTTTGAAAATACATTAAAAGTGAATTTGTGTATTATTCATTAAGTTTTTTCAAGATTTTTTTTTTGTTTGACAGTGTGTGTTCGTTAATCCTAATATATTTGAGTGATTTTTAAAAGAAAATATGTTATATTTATGAAATTATGATACTTTTGATTTGATCATGTAGTTAGCTAATAATCGTAGACGTATTGGTAAGTCTACTTTATAGTTTTTTTTAAACATGATCGCTAACTATGTAGTTTTCATTTTTTTCACAGAAAATGGCTCAATTACATGTTGTTGTGTATGAACTTATGTTTAATTTGTAGGCTTCTTTGGTATTGTTATGAAGTGTTAAACAAGTATGATTTCTGTAATGTAGACTTTTTAAAAATGTGTACAACAAAAGCAGACTTATTTATTAGTCTACATATAGGAAAGTAGACAAACACTAAAGTCTACTCTCTTTTATTGCTATTGGAGTTGTATTAATTTGTATTATTATTCTCTTTTGTGTTCAAAATCTCTAAATTTTTTATAAAACAAGTCTTCAGATTAAATAATTTTAACACATTCATTATTGTGTGTGTTAGTTGTTGTTTTAGCTTATGGCGGTTTTTAACTGTTTGGCTGACTAGAGTATTTTCTGAAAAACTGATTGCTAACAAAAAATAATAATATCATACAAGTGCAACACAATTAAAAAAATTAATACAATGTTTATTGATTATGTATCATAATATTTATTTACAAATGAATATTTTGTAAAGATAAATTATTACAAATCAATTTCTTTAAAACTTTAGAGTGTTTGATTATTCATAATCTTGATATCTCAAATGAAATCTTGGAAAATAATATCTGCAAAATAAGATAAAATTATGAGTAAACATAAGGTAAACATATTCAAATTATTTTTAGTAGACTTCATAAAAGTATACTTAAAGTTGATGAGTTTAATAGACTTTCTTTAAAACCTACTAGCCTTAATTTTTAAATAAACTTCATGCCAAAAACAATTTCAGATCTAAAAATGTAGAATTACAAAATTAGAAAATAGTAGTTTTTTGCAAAATAATTCAAAATAGTGTTTAACCTAAAATTAGCAAAGAAAAATCATAGAGCTTGTATCTATAAATTTAGTTTTATATAAAAAAATAAAAATTTAAATGAATATATGTAAATCTTACATTTTTTGGAATGTGATTTGAAAACTTTGGAAGAGAATATCTGCAAAATAAAATATAATTGTGAAAAAATATAAAACAAAAAATTAAATCATATTTGAGTAAACTTCTAGTGAAATCTGTTTAAAAGTTAAAGTTAATAAACATCATTTGTAGTCTACTCAATCCGAAAAATTTTAGATCTGAAAAATATATACATTACAAACATGAAAATAACTTTAAATCTAAAAAGTTTAGAAAATAGAATTTGTGAAATAAATTAGTAGTAAATTATAGACATGGAGTTTGAATATGTAATTTTATTTAAATATAAAAAGAAAAACACACATTATAGATGTAAATCTTACAATTTTTTTGTGGAAGGGAGAAAAACATGGAAGAAAATACCTGCACAATAGAGATGAAACTATGAAAAACATAAGACAAACAATTAAAGTCATAACCTTGTAGACTTCATTAGAAGTCTATTATATATTAGATAATTTTTAGATCTGAAAATTTTATATATTTGAAAATGTGAATCTTTTATTTTTGGGAAAACTAGATAAAAACCATGGAAGAAAATATTAACAAAATAAAGATAAAATTATGAGAAAAAACATTATACATAAAAAAAAAGTCATTTCTAGTTTTGTATACTTCATTGCAAGTCTACTATATTGGATATTTTCAGATCTGGAAATTATGTAAATGTGAAAATGTGAAATATAGTTTTTAATCTGAAAACAAAGCTTTAAAAGTAGAATTTATAAGATAAATATTAGTAAAGTAAATGCAACGAGTTTGTATTTGTAACTTTATTTGAATATAAACATAAAAGTACACATTTCAAATCTATAGATCTAAGACTTACATTTTTAAAGTGGAAGGTGATAACCATGAATTAACCTACAAACAAAAGATAATATTGTGAAAAAAACATGATAGAAAAATTAACAAACTAAACAAAAATTCATCTTCATCTTCACCTTCAAAGAATTGAGCAATGTTAGAGTTTTAGAGAAAGGAAAGAGTTTTAGAGAGAAGAGGTTGTCTTTTTTAGAAACTTGTGCAACCATTTTAGAGAGAGATTGTCTAAATTTCATTTATACAGGGAGACAAAAATTGTAACTAGGTTAAAAATTTCGATAGTATAGACTTCTTTTGAAGTCTACTATAATTAAATTTTGCAGTAAACTTAATTGTAAGTCTACTTAGTAGACTTTTTTTTTGAAATCTACTATGACTATTTCATTATTGTTACCTAATCAATATATATATTTGTTAAAATTGTTTAATTATATGAAATTTTAATTTATATACCTCATATTGATTCTTATATTGATTACCTAAAAGAAATTTCACACAATTTATTTTTATATATTTTAAAAATAAAATTATAAGATTAACTTAGAATGTAGACTTTGTAAT